AGACCCATACTTGAATACGCTGGACCAACGTGGTATCCCAATCTGGTTCGAGACAAGACTCTGTTGAAAAACGTTCAAAGAAAAGCCACTCGAATTTCTTTGGGACCGAGAAGACCGTCTTATGCAGAAAGACTTAGTATGGCTAACCTAACTACTTTTAAACTTCGCCGACAATGTGGAGACTTAATTACAACATTCAAAATACTAAAATTCAATTTTGGAAACCTCGATGAAATATTTATCATAAACCAAGATGAACGCCTCAGAGGTCATCAATATAAACTAAAGAAAGAAAATTTTTCTCTAAGACAAAGACAGAACTTTCTTCCAAATAGAGTTTTTGAGTGCTGGAATAACCTCATCGATAACATTGTCTCCGCTTCTTCTACCAACTTGTTCAAAAACAGACTTGACAGTTTTATATTATAGTTAAAATATTGTTTTTGCTTTTAAACCAAAAATTGTAATTTTATTTCTTTTATTTGTAATTTTTGTCATTTACTAGTAGGTGATTAATGAAATTTCTTTGTTTTTGGGCATAATAGGGACTTAGTTCCTCTGCCCTCGCTTATATTATAATAATCGATATAAATCGATAATAATAAACATAGCATTCGATAAAATCAGGCACAACCGCGTCCTACAACTATTTTAACGAAAACATTTAGATACGAAGGACATTACAATTATTACCGATGTTTCTTCTCTTCTTCTTCTAATGGCGCTACAACCCTTTGTGAATTTTTGTCTGATTTCTTTCCGCCCTGTTGAATACCTTCCTTCGCCACTGCCTGATGTTCATGGTTTTAAGATCCCTCTCCACGTCATCTATCCATCTTTTACGGGGTCTTCGTCTTGTTCTGTTTCCTTGGGGCTTCCATCTCTAGACTACTTTTATAGCTCGATTATCTGACATTCTTTTTAGGTGACCAAGCCAGTTTAGTCTTTGTGACTTTACAAATCTAACAATATCTGCGCTCTGCATTAGTTCATCCAGATCTTGGTTCACGAACCATCGCTGCATTGGATTGGTCCAAATATCTCCCTTATTTTGCGCTCAAATATTCTCAGTTGATTATCATCAATGGTTGAGAGAGTCCACGTTTCACTTCCAACGTCACGTCTAATTACTGTCTAATTCACGTCTAATTACTGTTTTGTAGATTCTAAGCTTAGACTCACGATTCAGTAACTTACTTTTCATTAAGTCTTTGTATGCATAAAAGCACTTATTACCGCTAAGAATCCGTGCTTGTATTTCTTGACTGATGTTGTTGTCGTTTATTATTGGGCCTAGGTAGGGAAAAGTGGAGGCATATTTGTAGGTATGGTTGTCTACCTTCAGATTCCCATGTTGATTCGATTTTGTGCCCTCCATATATTTTGCACTCATTTATATATAGACAAAACGTAGCTGCTTCTCGTTTCAGTTCTATAAATTTTTCGCTTAATACCCTTTTATTTTGGCTTATTATGGCAACATCATTCGCATATGCGCATATTTGCATTGATCTTGTATTAACACAGCCGCTTATATCCAGTTTTCTAACAACAGCTCAAAAAGTTAGATTAAAATATCATAATGAAGGAGGGGAAAAAGCTTTCAGATGAAATCGAAATAAGGAGAGGTGTCAGACAAGGATGCATATTATCACTCATCCATGGACGTATAAACACAGATGGACTCAGTTATTTACATAAAATTGTTTGTTTACATTTTATAGTAAATGAGGAAAAAGTTATTTTTCGATATTTTGGCTGTATTTTGAGTGATATTTGTGAAAAGTGAAATAAAATAAACGAAATATTTACATCCCGATCTCTCGATTCATTTGTAAGTACATACAATTTACATTATTTAAGATGAGGAAATGAGGAAGCGTGTTTGTTTATATTTTAATAGGCGTACCATTGGGTTTATTCATGTATTGAATAAGATATGAAATTCATGAAATTAGTAGACATTTATAAATTGTAAGTAGACATCATCTGATTAAAAAAGATCTGTTTAGTACCTTTTTAATTTAATATTTCTCATGGATACAAATAAATTAGTGAAATGAATAAAACTCATTTATTTTTATATGTAGGTTTCCAAATAATATTGACGATCGAACTATTTGGGTAGCAAATTAAGGAGAAAACATAAAGATTTTTATTGTAGCATTTTTTTGATACTATTAAAAAATTGACTTGAATTCAACTATATTTAATTGTATTAATTTTAAAGCAAATAAAATTTTATTTTAATTTTTCTATAAAGACGTGATTTGTTAATAGTTAAACTCTCGTTTTTTTTTTAAATTCTTTGAACGTGTTTTTATACATTATTACTACTTCCAATTTTTAAAATCTGAATAATTACCCGCGAGTAAAAATTCAAGCACGCTTATACTCATTGCGGAAGCATCACATTCTATCTAAGCTTCAAAACATTGTGTGTTAAAGGTATCTTATTGCTGTGTCCATGTATGTTTATACGTCCATGCACTCATCATATTCAATACGTAGAAATTATACCAATAAGCGCTAGAGCAACAAACAATAGGCATAAAACTTAACGGAAAACTAATGTAAGATACGCTGACGATATGGTATTGATAGCGGAATGCCTCCAATATTTACAACAACTAGTAAATCGAGATGTGGACCACAGTGAAGAAAGAGGTCTAACACTAAATACGAAACAAAAACTCGATTTATACTGATCATTGAATCACAACGATAAGATGATGAAGGAGGGGAAATGATTAAAGAAGAACAAATAAAACAAGTCCAAAATACAGATATTTAGTATTAATCATTAACGACAACAACGACTATACTGAAGAAATTAAAACAAAAGTTTTACATGCAAGATGCGCATTTACCGAAATGAAAAATGTTTTGTGTAACAGAGATTTAGAGTTAGACTTTGAGGTGTTACGTGTTCTCTACGGAGGTATATACGGCAAAGAGACAGATTGCCGATAAATAGGAGGCTTTCGCAATGTGGGCTTACAGAAGAATGCTTAGAATAAGCTGGATGCACAGAGTTACAAACGACGTAGTAGTGGAAAGAATGAGAAAACAAAGAGAGATCATAAACAGTTTAAAATTTAGAAAGTTGAAATATTTGAGCGCTATGAACTGCTGCGGGTGATCCTGCAGGGTGAAATACAATAACGAAGAAGTTGAAGTAGAAGAATCGTTTCCTGGCTAAACAATTTAAGAAATTGGATCAACTGCAGTTCTACAGGACTGTTCAGAGCATCAGCATCTAAGATCTTGAATTGCTGTGAGAGTTGCCAATATTCTGAGAGGAGATGGCCCGTTAAGAAGAAGCAAAGATATTTTATTTGCAACCTACATATCTTGCAGCATGCCTTGTTTCAACAGGTACTTTCACTTTTTCCCCGCTACGCCGGCGCTCATACTGGGTCGCTGGAGCTATGTCTTTGTAATAACATCGCGGTTTTTCTGACTACTTTTCATCTTCGGAAGTATGACCGATAACGGGATCCAGTTCTATAGTTTCGTGATTACTCCATTATTGTTCCACTTCCATCTATGAAATATATGATTAATTCAGGCAGGTCATGCATGCCGGTGAAATGCAAACAAAACCTGGTTTCAGAATTAAGGATGATCACGAGGATGAAGAGCGTCTTTACCTCGACAAAGTCCCAGGACTATCAGAGATTTTAATTTTTTGTTTATGAATAGGTACTAATAGTAGATTATGCCTACAGTGAATAATGTCCTTGTGGGATATTTACGAACCGAACCTCATTTGTAGAGATGGAATATTGTTCCGAGAGAATAATAGTCATTATTGCGAGTAATATACTCTACTTTATCTACGACTAATGTATTAATTTTTAATGAATAACTTATTTGACAATATGATTAAAATTAATAATATTACAATTAATAAATTATCTTCATCCTCCATGACGTTTTAATCCAAGTATGTCGCTTGCTCTCCGAATATGCAAAGAAGCAGATGATCTACGATGATAATGGCCGGTGTGACTGAGGATTTAGCAAATTTAAATATTAGGCAAGTTGTCTCCAATATCTGCAAATTTTTTTTTTCTGTACGTTGTATTGTAGATTTCTATTTTGAATAACGCTGGGCAGATAATGGTTTCTTAATATTGTTCTGAAGCTATTTTTTTGTAGTATCTTAAAGTAATCACTATTTTAATGGCAACAAGCCACAATTGAAGTTTAAAATAAGTGTATTGACGTTTCAATTTTCACTTCGATATTGTTCTCAAAATACAAACATTAATCATTAATGAAAAAAGATTCGCCCTGGTATATTATGCATTACAGTTTAGAGTAGTATGCTAGTATGCCGCACTGGAGTATGCTGTTTGTTCCAAGAATTTAACTTTAAAATAATTTGACAATAAACTAAACAATTTTCTTTTCTGAAATAACATAGTTGAGATCACAATATAAGTTAAAGTAGATAGACAATAGATTTTAATCACCAGGCTTATATCACTGGTGAGAGGTTTATGCAAGAATTTGGAAAACAATTATAGAGTTGTGGTAATAAGGACATATAATCAAAAGACACAGGACATTGTTTTGCATATTTAAGTATTTTTCCTTTGATATAATGATTGACTTCCACACCATGATATTTCGTTCAAATTGTTTCTAATATTGAATGCAGCTGTCCGTCACTTAATTTCCTAACCATCGAATAATTCAAATAAATAGAAATTATGCAGCTGTCATGTCAGTGTTAATTTTTATGATTATTGGAAAAGATAACAAAGGTTGCTGGTTAGAAATCGTGTTAACAGTTTATGGAATAAACGTCGAATAAAATTCGACGAAATTCAAGTTTTTAATTCTAACTTTAACTTTTAGTTACTAAAGATAGAGTAAACTCTACTTGGTTAAAGGTTCAGAGTTTTCGTAGATAAACTGCATAAAGTGTCGATATTACTGTTTGATTTTTGTGATAACTGTGTCTTTATTTATTGTTTCTTTATTTGCAGGATTTACTTTTAATGGTGCAGCTTTGGTTGTGGAACCTTCAGTGGCGTCTGGCAAAAAAAAGTAAGTATTGTATATTTTATACTTATCTGAATATGATGTTTACGACATGAAACATCATATTTAGACAGGCTACAAAATAGATTTCGGAAAAGCAAAAACCATCGCTCTCATCCGCTCCTTAAAATCGAGAATTATTCGTGAAGCCGTCGTAATTGAAAAACTTAATTCTAAATAAGACTTAAGACTCTAAATATTAATATATATTAATCATAAATATTTCTTTTACAATAAAAATGTCATCAAAGAATACTAAAAAGATAAATAATTAGAAAAAATTGTTTAAACAAATTAGATGGCTTATTTTAGCAATTTATCTATTTAAATAATACATATTCTCAATACATAGCTGACCGATTTTTAGGACTACATTTTGAAGGTTTGTGGCCGATTCCAATTAATCGAATTTTGCACATTAAGCTGCTGTCGATTTAAAAAAAGGGACTAACTTGTCGTCCTAAATTGTTCTAAGACAACTTTTTTTTTTAATTGGTAGAAAAATGCAAGCTATCCAAATATGAAAATAATTTTCCTACAGCAACAGTTAAAAAGTTATTGCAATTGTTTATAAGCAAAAAAAAATATGTTTTTGCAAAATGATTTTGCAATGTTTAAAATTTTTTATAAAGTTAATAAAATGGTGCTTCTTCTTTCATAAGGTAGCTGTAGAATTACTGTAACTTCATCATTTTCTGAGTTATATTGTTGCAAAAAAAATTAATTATACATATAAAATAACATTAAACAATAAAATAACATTAAAATAACATTTGAATATTATACAAATAAAATAACATTTAAACAATTTGAACGATCGCTTTAAAATTTTGATCAAATTTTAAGCACTACAAGACCCAAAATTCTGTGTAGGTAATATGAAGATTCTATGGTAATTTTTAAAACAGTTATTAGTATTTATTAAAAAACGCCATTTTGAAGGTTTTTATATGGCTTATAAGTTTATTACTCTTAAATTTGTTTCAAATGATTCACTTTTTGGTTATAGACGAAAAAACTGAAAATTTACCATCTTTTTACCTTAATTTGTTAATAACTAATTTAGTCCAAAAAATCGACTGTAGGAAACATAAAGGTTTTAGTTAGAGAGGTCTTACTAGTCAAAACAACTGTTGTTTGTCTGGCAGGTTTAGTGTCACGAAAAAACCTTATTTAAGTCTATATTTCTCTTTTCAATAACTTCAGTAGTTGTGTAAGTGTGACATACGCAACGCTACTGACAATACAGTGTTACATGTAGCCAAAAGCTGTCCCTAGAGCAATATTATCTCCTCTCTTGTGGAATCTGGTCAAGGATGAGTTTATAGGTAAATTCAGCAACCTCATGTTCTGGGCGATGCGGGCAGGTCATCTTACCCCATGGTAAATTTAATCGCACAGAGATATAATGCAACAGGCTGTGACTAGTTGTCTGTAGAAGGAATTTGGAGCTTCTTCTTCTTCAGTGCCTTATCCGGACCGGATGTTGGCGATCATCAAGGTTATCATGGCTTTGTTGACTGTTCTGCGAAACAGCTCCTCGGAGGTCATCCCAAACCATTGTCGAAGGTTTTTCAACCACGAGATATGACGGCGTCCCGGTCCTCTCCTGCCAAATAATTTACCCTGCATAACGAGTTAAAGAACCTGACAAAGAATTTACCCTAAGTATGATTATAAAGCTATTATATTGTTATATTATATTAGCTATTATATTGTATATTTCTCCCGTCTTTGTTTAACAACAAATTTTTTCGGCGTAATTTGAAATATTTATATCTTAGAACTTAATTTAATCATTTAATGCAATTGTTTGTTTATTTTATTATTTGTCTGTCATAATAAATATAATGTAATGTCAGACCAATCAAAATCACTGATCAAAATGAACAAATCTTAGAGTCGTATTAGTTTTTTTTTTGGAACCAGCTGTATCTTTATAGTGATGAGAAAGTATCTTTATATCTCTGCTGCTTATGAGAAATCACAAGAAACATTATTCCAAAACCTCATCAGTTTAAATAAAACAAACTACACCTAAATGACTTAAAGAAATCTCAGCTAAACCACGTTATAAATTTCCTGATATAGATGTTATTATTAAGATCTACTATATAATTATTAATAATTAATCAGGAGAGTAGTAGATAAGCATAAAATAATAAAATCGTTGGCCATGTATTACTTCCTCTTGCAGCTACATAAAACATTTTCCGGAGAAAATTATAAAAAAATATATATCAATGTAGTCAAATAAAAGCAGATCATTTATGTAAAGATATTTCTCAACTTAACATTCAGTCGATCGCAAGTCCAGCTGTTCCGACTTGCCTATTGATAAGTATTTCCGAGCTACCTGTCAATTTTGCGCAAAACGAATTATTATAATCAACTGCGAACCACCCCCAGGGATACCACCAACTACCACCACGCCGGTAGTAATAATAAAAGGAGCATAGTTAAAAAAATAAAGCAGAAAATTTATGCGGCACGGGTCAACGCGACCAAATCTGCAAGGTGTACTTTAAATTGAAGGAGATGGAAGTGTTTTCGACGACGAGTCGGTGCACTGCACTTTTCGAGTGCATCATCAGGTGCATCTGCTCCCGTTGCGTCCAGTTGCATTGGCATCGCGTTACATTTATTGCAATCTGCGCCCCGATGTGTTTTTCAACCAAAGACGTACGCCGGCGAAGGGAAGACATTTTGTATATTATCAAACTCAAATTCAAAACTAATTCAATGCATAATTTCAATGACGCGCATATTAAAAAATCATACGACCGTAGTAGTCATCAGGTTTCCTTAATTTAAATGCAATCCAAGTTTGCAAACAATTTTTTAATTAATATCACATAAGAAAATATTTTTTTATCAAAATTTTAAACAGGTATACGAGCCCTAACAACTATATATTAGTACAAATTAAGATATATAACAAATCCAGGTGGTAAACTGTTAATTTATTATTAGTTTTTTAATAATCATATTAATACTGCTAAATAAGCAATATTTTAATTAATAAATAGGGTCAGTGCACCAGTTAATGATGTATGTATATGGCTAAAAATGCATACATAGTGTTAAGTTTATATAGTTCTGATTTATTTGTCTTTATTCTAATTTATTGTCTATATTCTAATTTATTAAAACTCACGATAACTAATTACGAATTTATTAAAGACTTTATTAATTCTAATTTATATTACAAATAATAATTTATGTTTCGTTACATTTAAATATCGCGGTTCCCGATCTTCTTATGACTGACTTCTTCAATAAAATTTCGTCTTTATATAAAGCACCGTAAGACCGCCTAGACCTGACCTGACCATTGTAGAAAATACTGGAATGTGACGTCATATTGGTATTATAGCCGAGGGGAGACCCCATGGATGTTACTTGCATTGTCTCGAATAAACTGGAACTGGTTTGTTTTTTATAGCGGCTCGGCTGATTTTCGTCAGGTAGGTATACCTAGAACATTCATGAATGAATAAAAACATATTAGTAAAATATATTTACGATTTTGGGTCAGAATTTATCGTAACATTGCCCCCCTCTTAAAAGATGGTTCCTCCTGGAACCTTGTCGGGACTGGAACTGGAGCGGCATGCTGGTATCGGCAACTGGACCCCTTTTTACAACTTCCTGTTTTATAAAAATGACAAGGGACGGTTTTCTCTCCGCACCAGTAACTATGCGGATTGCAACAGACTAACACCTGGACTTCGGTGTCTCTAAAGATCTCCTCCACCATACTTCGAATAACCCTCCAATCTAATTGTTGGCACTCTAACTTTGGCATGGCTAACTTTTGCACGTCGGACTCTAGTACGTGCTCTCTCAACTGAAGTAAAGCTTCCCATACATCTCGGTAGGTAGGTTGGTCACGGGCAGTGTCTTTTGTTACCAGGTAGAAAAGGTAACGTGATGCATCTTGAAGTTTTAAGGCTTTTCCAGGAGCTGGCACTTGGCATTGAAGTTCTGCAACTCGACCGAACTTCCTTCGAAAGACGGATGCCAACCCTGGTGCGTCTTTGATACTGGCCGGGATGGTAAGGGCCAGTGAGTAGCCATCGGGAAGCGTGAGTAGATCTTGCTTTTCTTCAGTGGTAACACCATATCTTGCTTTACCGGTACCTCCATAGGCACCCATGAATTCCTCAAACGTGAGGTCAGACACATCTTGGACTTGGTTTACTTCCACTTCTTCATCTACGTCGTGGTCGCCTTCGAAAGACGCCAGCCGGTTATGGTGTACTATCATCGGCTTTCCCCTCGGAATCTTGCTTATTCGGTAAATAACATCATTGATCTTCTCCATAATGAGGTATGGACCTTCCCAAAACTGCTGCAATTTGGGAGAACAACCTTTTCGCTTTTTGGGGTTATAAAGCCAGACTTTATCGTTCTTCTTAAAACACCCCTTTTCGGCTTGTGTATCGTACCGTTTCTTCATTCGGTCACTAGCGATTTGGAGATGGGAACGGACCAACTCGTGTACATCGTCCATTCTTCTTCGTAATTCGATCACATAATCTTCACCTGCTACATCTTCTCCAGGTCGACACCCAAACTCTAGATCACAAGGTAGTCGCATCTCGCGTCCGAATAGGACTCTGGCTGGTGTCTGGCCTGTTGATTCATTAACAGCAGATCTGTAGGCCATTGTGAAGAACGGAAGATATTGGTCCCAGTCTCGCTGATGATCGGACACCATCTTTGTCAAATACTTGCCAACTGTTCTATTCATTCGTTCTACCATACCATCCGATTGCGGATGATAAGCCGTAGTTCTTGTTTTCTTCATACCTAGTCTATCACATATTCCTTGGAATAAATCGCTTTCGAAGTTCCTGCCTTGGTCACTATGGATCTCCAAAGGCACTCCAAATCGGCTGATATATTCTTGGATCAACTTATCTGCAACGGTGGCGGCCTTCTGGTCTGGAAGTGCGTAAATCTCGACCCACTTAGTGAAGTAATCCATTACTACCAACATG